TTTCTAATTGTCCCCTTTTTCTGTTTTTTAAATGTCTTGGTTTTACTAACCTTTAATTTTAGAATTCACACTTTATACATTTTAGATTTTTATTACCCATCTCTGGCATTTCCTCATTACTAAAATTATATTTCCGTAGTTTTTTCAGTTCGACTATTTTATAACTAGTATGTTATATTTTTAAGACTTACTGCTGTCTTAAATAATTTGGTATGTGAATTTTATTTCTAGCTTTTTCCATATTTTTCTTTATTTAATGTAAAGCATTTTGTGTGACACTAATGTATGAAAGGTGTTTTATTAGAAAAAGTTTGATTTGACTAATGTAAATCATCTGTGAAATAAATATTTCAGTGAAGCAGTTCCACTGGGCCGAAACATCTCAAAGTCATGTGCACTGACTTTTAGCTGTGGTGCCTTACGAATTTTCTCTTATCTCTGGGCGTTAGAAGATAATAATAACAATAAATTAATGGCTTTATTGTTGTTTCGTAAAATGAGGACTAAAAAATGTAGGTAAACATGTGATGACAACAATATCTTTTATAGTTGGTCTGAAATTTTGGTTCATATAAGCAAGGATTACACATGAGTCACTGAACATTAAGTTCCTTCAGTGACGAGCCGTGAGTCAGAGGATAAAGTGTTCATGTGGGCACATTCATCATGACAATAAAAATTTCAAAGACGCAAACAAACTGCTGCAGTTACTTACAAGCATAAACAAATATATTTAAACCAATACGAGAATGTGTTCCTCTATGTTTGAGTTGAATCCTGTGTTTTTAATGGCACAACTTAAGAGATCCCAGATGTAAAAGCTTTGTGTTAAAAACTTTAGTATTTAAGAGTTTGGCATACTAAGCTAGTTTTAGCTTGTCTTACATTTTATCCAGGTTTGTAAAAAGTTCAGCAAAATGAACACTTCCTGAAGACTGTGGCTAGAATTAGTATTTAGTTTGAAGGTGAAATTAAGACTCAGGTGTTTTCAATCAATGCGATGATGATCAGGTGTGAGTGGGCACCCTGTTTGATTTAAAGAACAGGGATCCACCAAAGTCTTCTCTTCACAACATGTTTGTGGCAGAATATCATGGCATAAACATAGGAGATTTCTGAGGACATCAGAAAGAGAGTTGTTGATGCTCATCAGGCTGAAAAAAGTTACAAAACCATCTCTGAAGAATTTGGACTCCACCAATCCACAGTCAGACAGATTGAGTATAAATGGAGGAAATTTAAGACCATTGTTACCCTCCCCAGGAGTGGTCGACCAACAAAGATCACTCCAAGAGCAATGCGTGTACAGTTGGCGAGATCACAAAGGACCCCAGGGTAACTTCGGCCTCTCTCACATTGGTTAATGTTCATGTTCATGAGTCCACCATCAGGAGAACTGAACAACAATGGTTCATGACGGGGTTGAAGGAGAAGCCACTGCTCTCCAAAAAGAACATTGCTGCTCGTCTGCAGTTTGATAAAGATCAAGGCTGTTGGAAGAATGTTTTGTGGATGGATGAGACCAAAATAGAACTTTTTGGTTTCAATGAAAAGTGTTATGAAAACACTTCATTCCTGCATAAGAACCTTATCCCATCTGTGAAACATGGCGGTGGTAGTATAATGGTTTGGGCTTGTTTTGCTGCATCTGGGCGAAGACGGCTTGCCATCATTGATGGAACAATAAATTCTGAATTATATCAAAGAATTCTAAAGAAAAATGTCAGGATATATGTGCATGAACTGACTCTCAAGAGAAGGTTGGTCATGCAGCAAGACAACGCTCCCCTCAGGAAGGAGGTTGAGGAGCATTAAGTGTAGAACCACTAGACTGAGGAACATCTTCTACCCTGAGGCTGTTAGCCTCATGAATCTCTAACCAGGATAATCACTGTGAAAAAATAAATAAATAAATCATGCGTTGCTGCTGATTTGTTTCATGTTGCTGTGTTCATTCGTACTTATCTGCTCACACAGACTCATGTTCGTGCTGCTGTTTGGCGTATTGTTTTTGTACTACTAGTGCTTACCGTATTCTTAGTTTATATCTTTCTTAGTTCATATCTTAGATCTTTTTACTGTTTTTCTTTTACATTTTATACTTTTGTTGGATGTAACTGGGACCCTGTGTACACAATTTTGTTCCACCACATGTACCCCATGTGATGGAATAACAAATAAAGAAACTCTGACTCTGACAGTGATCCTAAGTGGTTCTATCAAAGAATGGTTAAAGAAGAATAAAGTTCATGTTTTGGAACGGCCAAGTCAAAGTCCTGACCTTAATCCAATCCAAATGTTGTGGAAGGACCTGGAGTGAACAGTTAATGTGAGGAAGCTCACCAACTTTCAGAGTCGAAGTTTTCAATATGGAGGAATGGGTTAAAACTCCTCCAATCTGGTGTGCAGGACTGATCATCAGTTCACGGAAACATTTCGTTGGTGTTATTGCTGCATAGTGGGGTCACACCAGGTACTGAAAGCAAAGGTTCACACACTTTTGCCCCTCACAAATATGTAATATTGGATCATTTTCCACAATAAATAAATGACCAAGTATAATATTTTTTATCTCATTTGTTTAACTGAGTTCACATTATTTTAAGACTTGTGTGCAAATCTGATGTTTTAGGTCATATTTATACAGAAATATGGAAAATTCTAAAGTATTCACAAACTTTCAAGCACCACTGTAAGGTGGTGCCATTTAAAATTTCAATAAGATTAGGGGGTTTCCTTGACTTTAGTCACTTGTGTTCAAGAGTATCCTGTCCATAATAACAACATGACCTAATTTAAACATTAGGGGAAATAAAAGTTTTGAGTTGCAACATAATCTGGGATAACACCCCCCCCCCCCCCCCCACACACACACACACACACTATTTCCCATTGCTGATTTCACATTACAGTACTGAAAAGCAGCTACACTGGTGGTCTATGGTGGGAAATACAGATGGTCTGCTATCCAGGCATCCAGAAACATTAAATAGGCCTGCAGATGATGCTCATGTGTGTATGGGCTTGCTCAGGAGAATTTGGGGATATGAAGTAAAATGAGATTTCAAGCACATGTGTGAGCATTGCAATGGGAATGCTAGCCACAAAATCCTGCAACAAAAAGCCCCTTCTGTGAGGGACTTGGAGCATGGCTAGAAAACAGAAAAATGATTTGACACGCAAAGAACGAAAGAGGTACTAATCAAGTTAGGGTATTTGTATTTTTTACACAGAGGCAGTAGCTTGACCAGCCAGTTATACGAGCCGCAAATACTCTTTTGCAACTTAGAAATGATGTGCCATTGAAACATACGGTTTGTGTTGCTCCCCAGGCTTGCATGGAGTCCTTCAAGAAAGAAATGTGTAGCAGTAAAAATTTACTTTCTGTGTAGCATCTATACAGATTAGTGGAAAGTTAGTCTGAGCCAGCAAGAGGTGTGGCAACAATATTCTACCACAAAAACAAGAATAAAAGAAATGCAGATAAAAAGGCACAAACAAAAGCTGCATGGGACAGTTTGGGGCGGCTGACGCTCAGACATGTGAGGAAGACCATCGTCAGTAGACACTTTGCAGGAGGACTAATATCAAACTTGGCCAGACACTTGTCACACTCATCTTGAATGAGAGACTAAACTCCACTTAGCAACCAACTTGTTTTATAAGTAGTTTAGACAAAAGTATCAGAAAGACAAAAGTAATCTAAAATGTTTTAACACCATTTGAACTGTTTGACTTGTTACACCTTCAGGGAAGCGCTACAGGTGCATCTGAACAAGAACAAGCAGATTCAAGAACAGTTTTTTTTGCCAAAAGCCATTACCACACTGAACTCGCATATGCACTGATTTAATAATCTAACCTCCCAAACCTCTGGATTTCTATTGTGCAATACTACTGACATTTCATACTCTCAATCACCTTACCTCTTAACTACCTCACTAATATCCATAATGCGCAATATAATTGTGAAATACTTGTATTTTTTTTACTTTTATAGGGCTATTATATCTATATTGCATTACATTTTTATACTTTTAGTGTGCGTTTTTCTTAAGCATGTTTTTGCACTGAAAAAAGGAGCGGCTCTTAATTACATTGTACTTGCGTATAATGACAATAAAGGCATTCTGATTCTGAGTCAGTTGCAAAGAAGTCTTTGACAACTAATGGCTCAAATGAGCTAAATAAACAACTCACGAGTAGCCTGTGGCTCAGATGTTTCCACAGATCTATACAACACCCTGCAACAGATGCACATTTTCAAAGGTTACTAAAGCCAAAAATCTAATGCAGAACCCTTCCAAGACATTTACATACACGGTCTAGGTGAAGGAAAGGTCCCAAAAGGTTCAAAGGTTGTGCCATTCTAGGGTAGAAGAGCTGCATCTTGAAAGCTGGTCTATGTTTGGACAAATGTATATTCCACAGCATATGCAACAAAAACATTTATCTTTATGCTCAACAGTGCAAACAGTACACATCTGACATCAGTAGCCGTCTGGGATGCAAACTTTTGCTCAAAGCTTCACTGCAGGTGCAGGCACTGGTTTCCTAACTCCAGATGGAGATTTTCTTACCTCTCCAAAGGATTAAAAAAAATAAAAATCTTTTGATGGTTCTAATTATGGCTTCCCACCAGAGACCAACTTACTTTGGAAAACTCAACCAAGATTGTGTCCAACAAATAAAAACTCTGAAGAGTCATGCATGTGTTCACTGTAAACCATTAACTTGTTTTTTTTTTTAAGACTGTCAAGAAATCATTATGTTGTACACAGATTGTGCAACAGGACAGACACCTATTGTGTAAAACAAGCATCTTGTGTGTGAAAATGAAAACCTTTATCCGTATGTGCATCCATGTTTTCAACAAGCAATATGCTAAAAGTCTTGTTTTTCTAGTGAACTGAGAGACAGTGCTTCTGTGTAGAAGGCAAAATGAACTTGGTACAGTGGAGGACATAAAGACGTGTTACACTGTAAAAAGCTCAGACTACCTGACTGGGGGTTCTTGCTGCTGGTTTGTCCTGATGGTTGGCAAGAATAAGGAAAGGCAGTGTGCAGAGCTGTGGGTGCTGCAGAGCCGAGTGGAGCTCATTCCGTGCCGCCTCCAGGTCCTCGTCCGATGAGGCGCTGTCCAGTATGAAGACTACACCCTGTGACCCCTGGTAGTAACGACTCCAATATTTCTTGATGTTGTCAGCTCCTGTAGAAACATGTGAAGTTGATGAATAGTTGCTTTAATTGTCTCCAAACGTAGTGTTTTTGTAAAGGAAGTTGTGTTTGTTAGATCAAAACTGACAATAGACACATAAAAAGCTCTTAATGGCATAAACGTCATACATTCATGTTTCAAAAAACAGATTATAATAATCCTATTTATGATACTAAACTCCAAAAGCAGCACTTTTCATGGTTGCACACAATAATCACAAAGTTGTTTTTTTTCCTGAATAAAATTATTTTTCCCTCTCAAAATTCTTTAAAAAAAAACATTACAAATTAAACGACAGGGGAAAAAGCAGATTTTTGTTTGATTTTGATAGACGTTTGAAAGAATATGCACTACAAAAATAATTATTTACTGTCTTTTTGTTGCAGTAAAGTTTAAAAAATGAGTAACACAGTTTAGAAATAAAACATGTCATAAGTAAAAAATACCAACTAGGACTCCACCCACTTTCATGATCTGTTTGTGATCAGTTTTTACTGAATTATTAACCCCAGCCTCCCAAATGTTCAGCGTTTGGGAAGAGCCCAAAAGTTCTCGAAATGATTTAGGTCAGGTGAATAAAGGGGCCCAGGTCATTACTTGGCTGTCTTTGAAGCTTTTTCTGTCTATAAAAGCGCGGGAGCACTCGGATGCTCGTGATGGATAAAGATCAGAGAGAGCTTGAGCTCTGCAGACTTCTTCCTGTACGGCTGCTCAAAAAAATGGATTTACAAGAAAGTGGCAGCAGGTTAGAATGTAGATTTTCAGTCCTTCAACTTGAAAAGGTCCAATTAGCTCAGCACGAACAAACGACCTGCGGGATGGGGCACATATGGGACTGAAAAGATATTCAAAGAGTAAACTTAGCCTGAAACTCCTAACCAGTCAGACCTATTCATCAAGTTCCTGTTTACAATATAATAAGCATAATGGGTTCCTGGTACTGCAGTTTCTTTTTTTTTTTTTTTTTTCAGTTAAATTTGACATTTTTCATTTACTATGCCTTTTTTTTTATTTTTTTTTTTACATTGTAGTTCAATTCAAGTTTATCTACATAGTGCCAATTCAGCCCATGAGTCATCTCAGGGCACTGCACAAAAACATGCCTTTAAAGATGCCAACGTCTAAAAGTAAACATATAGGAAAAGGCAGAGGTAACTGTGACACCCTAAATTCACAGAGGAACTTTGGCAAGCCCTTCAAGATCTTTGAAACAACGTTCCAAAGGATCAGAGATCTGACACTTCAGAAATCAGCTTGACATTTTTCTGTAGCAAACCTGAAGGTTGCCCAAATCTGTTTTATATACAGGTACACAGAGAGCTGGACACTGCATTTGCAATTACAGTGTAAAAAAAATAAATAATAAGAGCATGACATTTTTAGCAGAGAAAAAACTCACTGCTTTGTTTGTAAGTCGAGAATTTAAGATAAATAAAACATTAAAGATGCTCAAGGTACCAATACTGAACCTCTGTTAAAAAATGCTGTTATTATTTTTTTTTTCTTACAGCACACAGTTGCAGTCTACACACCATAAGGACAACACCTTATATTTATAAGTGAAACTGTTGTAGTTCTGCAATTCAAGAGGAAATAACATGAAGAATAGTATTAATTTAAACTATTTTCCAATTGTTGTCCTCAGTTAGTCAAAGTCAAAGTTTCTTTATTTGTCATTCGCACAACATGTGGTACATGTGGTGGAGCGAAAGTGTGTACACAGAGTCCCAGTTACATCAACAAAAGTATAAATTGTAAAAAAAAACAGTAATAAGATCTAAGATATGAACTAAGAAAAATGCTAAACTAAGAATGCACTAAGCACTAGTAGTACAAAAACAATATGCCAACAGCAGCACGAACATGAGTCTGTGTGAGCAGATGAGTACGAATGAACACAGCAACATGAAATAAATCAGCAGCATGAGATCAGCAGCAAGGATAGTCATATCAACAATCAAAGTGGCATTAGTGATTTTTTTTTCACAGTGACTATCCTGGTTAGATATTCATGAGTCTAACAGCCTCAGGGTAGAAGCTGTTCCTCAGTCTAGTGGTTCTACACTTAATGATCCTCAACCTCCTGTCTGAGGGGAGCGGGACAAAAAGTGTGTGTGTCGGGTGAGTGGAGTGGATTATTAAAGTACCGTATTTTCCGGCGTATAAGTCGCTCCTATTATGCATTTATTTAACGGTCAAAACAGCTTCATTTCGTCTGGGCGGCGTGACACCATCCATCGCAGCCGGAGCCGCTAGCTCTCCAGCATTTCTCCGCCTGCACCAGCTGAGTGGAGCGGGCACACATGAGAAGACTTGCTGTTGCAATTCTTCGAAATTTAACAAGATTAACATTTAAAATCAATTATTGTTTGCTCGAAATTATAGTGTGTGAATTATATAGTGTGCCTCAGTTTAACTTTTCTTGAATCAATGCAGTTTAATGGTCAAAACAGATTAATTTAACCTGGGCGGCGCCATCCATCCATCCATCCATCCATCCATCCATCCATCCATCCATCCATCCATCCATCGCTGCTGGTACTGCTAGTTCTCCAGCTTTACTTCGCCTGCGCCAGCTGAGTAAAGCGAGCGTGCACGGGAGGACTTGATGTTGCAGTTTGAAATTTAAAGCGTCAGTCAAAAATTGCGTTATGATTATGGAAAAAAAAAATGTATATAAGTTGCTTCAGCGTATAAGTCGCAGGACTGACAAATCTATGCAAAATAACAGCGACTTGTACGCCAGAAAATACAATAGTTCAAATTAGTTAGAGTTTGTTTGCACTTTGCCATAGTGCCGAATGAAATTTTCTTACAAAAGTAACCATCCAAAAATATTATTAATTACACGGACAAAAATTCCCTTAACTATATATGTGCTGTATGAATTTTCACTTTAAACAAAAGCAAAACTGGAACATCCAAAACAATTGAACCTCGCAGTGGGCATAAAATAATACCATACCAAACCATACCATACCACTTTATTTATAAAGCACTTAAAACAGCTACAAAGCCAACCAAAGATGCGCAGGTCATGCTGCTTAGATTTGGGAACATGTTGTCTGAGCAGATTTTGCAGCACTGGTTTGATGGGTGTACTTTGCACTTCGCTCTGCATCAAGTCCCAAAGAGGGCCAAAAGCTGCTTAATGAGAAAGCTTCTTTAACACTGATATAGAGCGGCCACCGTTGCTCTTTGTTCCTCAGTGATGGTTCTTCTGAAATGCTCTCAAGTCTCAGTGGCACCAATGACGAGCAGAGGAAAGAACACATGGAGCTACTTGATGTGCTGATAAATCAAACTGAGCACCTCAAGAGCCCGAAGTCCGTTTGTCATGGGGAAAATACACAAGGAGCACAAAAGGTGGCTGAAGCCACGATCAGCAGGAAAACACACACACCGAGTGACTCCGACACTGATGCTCAACCATGGTTCTGTTGGCTTTACTGCCAATATGCCCTCAGATGTATAAAAACATAAAAGATACAACGAGGGCACATTAAGGTTGTAAACATTATTTGTGTAGGAGACTATCTTATTAAAAACTGCTGCTCTGTGAACTGATTCGTGCATCCTTCTTTATTTTTCACCATCTCTTGAGAGTGATTCTGTTTGTCTTGAGTTGTTTGAACAGGGCTTAACATAAAGTTTCAATTTACCAGCTGTCCTGCAACAGCTTTTTAGGTTTATATACAGTTGAGCCATAACATACATCCATTATCTTTTAGGGTTGTGGGGATCACTGGTGCTCATATCCAGCAGTCACTGTGCGAGAGGTAGGGGACACCCTGGACAGGTCGCCAGTCCATCACAGGGACACATTGAGACAAATGAGACAAACAACCATTCACTCTCTCACTCACACCTACAATTTAGAGTTATCAATCGGCCTAACATGCATGTTTTTGGTCTGTGGGAGGAAACCAGAGTACCTGGAGAAAAAACACACATGCACGGAGAGAACATAGAAATTCCACCCAGAATGGCCCCCTGGCCGGGATTCAATCCGTCAACCTTCTTGCTGAGAGACAACAGCTCTACTGACTGAGCCACTGTACCACCTGAGCAATAATACATTTTGTAAAAAAACAAGTTGGGAAACAGCACTTTAATTAATATCAATAACAAATACCTCAAGGAAAACAGTAACATTATCAGAAGTCTTGTTTTTGCAAAAACAATCACCTCAAATCAAAGTTTACTTTCAAATGTTGGGTGGCAAATACTTTTATATACTGGTACTTAAATTACACAAAACTGTCTTGATTTTAAAATCTGAGAAAAATTTTTTTTTTTTTCCAAAAGTCTTTATTTATTGCATTTTTCTTTTAATAACGGTTAACGTTTATTTTCATTACTGCTATAAAAGGACTAATGAGTGATTTCCATCATCATAGTCAGACACAATCCACTTTATTCTGGACTGTAAAATGTTTCATGGAGTTACTTTTTCATGCGTTAAACTCTAGTTTTCTTTATAAAAGACCAAATCACAGCAGCTGATTTCAATAAATTTCAAACCAACACAAATTGGCTCATAAAGTTATGAAACAGATGCCAGGTGGTGCACCTCTACTCAAGAATTATGACATTTGTGGTAAACTTTTACAGATAAAGTTTTCTTTTTTATTTGCATTAAATAAAATAAATAAACTCGAATAAATATTGCGCTTTCTGCGACGGGACTTTTGTTAAATGATACTCTATGTTTTTGTCGCAACTAAAAGTTGTCATCGTTGCAAACAAACAACTACAGGGTGTTCCATCACATTGCATACGCAAATATGAAATGTTGCTTTTTAGAGGATGTACCAGAGCTGGTTAAAACGATCCTCCTCCGTCTGCTGGGGTGACTTCCTTTGCGATCTTGTGAATTATTGTTTCGTTATTGTTGCTCACAGTGTAGGAATTGCCAAAAAATGACAAACTGTGAGGCTGGCAAATGTTTCACGCTGTGCTCTCACTGACATTTACCACCCCTCCTTCGA